TTTTTTTTTGTTTTTTGGGGGTTTTTTTTACGAATTGGTCAAACCCAAACTCAAACAAAAACATTGTTTTCAATCGTTATGAGTCTACCTATTGAATATAATTTTATTATAAACAATTGTCTTGTAAATGGAATTTTTAAAGCATTCTGAATGTAAAAATAAAGAAAAAAGTGTGCAAGACAATAAGAAACACTACCTGCCAAAAAGAAAGTGAAGTTTTGTTGAAATCGAATGAAAAATGTAGTAAATCCGATCCCATATAATAAACGAACACACACACACACACACACACACACACACACACACACACACACAACCTTGGTTTTTATAATAAGTATAACTCAATACGAGTTGTCCCCCTTTCATTTTCGCGATGCCTCTTAATCGTCTTTTTAAATTGATTTCGTGCAAAAACAGTTATTTTTTTCCAATTTATGGCGCTGTCAGAACCACCGCAAGGTAATTTTACTCAGTTCTATGAAGTTTTGTTGAAATCGGTTGAAAAATGTAGGAAATCCGATCCAATATATAAACGTACAGACACACACACACACACACAACCTGGATTTTATAATAAGTATGATTTACAGTAAGGTTAGCTAGTGATTCTTTCAGGAATAAGTATCAGTGAGAGGCAATCTTTACAATATAAGATACACAGCTGAAACTGTGTGGATGGCAGACAGAGAAAGGAAACTACTGAACCTACATGGTGATTAAGGAAACCAAGAAGAAAGACAATTGCAAGAAGACAGAATGTTAGCAAAAGAAAATAAAACAAATTCCGATATACCAGATGGATATGTCAAAATCAAACAAGTAGAGAAATTTAAATATCAAGGATATGTTTTAACAGACAATGACAAAAATGACACTGAAATACAGGGTGTCCCAAAAAACTAACATAATTCTAAAAGCAATTATCTGGAAAAGTTCTTAGTCTACCTCAATGAAATTGAACAGTTTAGTTGTTGAACATAAGTTTATTATGGGAAAGATTTCATACGTGTTCAATATATGCACCATCTTTGACACAGCACACATCAAGTCGTTAGTTAGGCTCTTGCCGATGTCTCCAGTAACTTTATCCAGTGCGGAAGTAATTCACTGCTTGTGTTGATCAATGCTATCAGGGAAAGAGGGGAACATAGACCAGTCCCTTTACATATTCCCATAAAAAGAAATTACAAGGGGATATGTCCGGTGACCGCGGCGGCCATTTCATCAGAAAGCTGACTTCATCTCTACTACGTCCGATCCATCTCTCTGGCAGATTTTCATTGAGATAACAAAAATAAAACTTTATATATAAAATCTTGATCTGTGTCTATACATTCTGTGAAAATGTCAGGTTATTTCAACAAGAATTGCGAAAATTGTTGACCTGCGAAATTATGCCAATTTTGGTGGGACACGCTGTAACATAGACGCATTTGAATAGATAATACTGAATTCCAAAAATTAAACAGAATATTATGTCTAAGTGAATTCTGAACAATTTCTTCACAGATGAAGAGAAGATTTGGGGCGATAGGGACGAATTTCTACAAAAGGATTCTGTGTATCCAACGGATGCACTATCTAAACAACGAGGAAGTGTTAAGATAAACGGAAATGAAAAGGGTAATTATACATAGAATCAAAATGAGACAGTTGAAACTTCTAGGTCACATTTTTACGGTCTAGAAAATTTGAGATTCACAGTGATACTGCCGGTAAGAGGGACAGAAGAAAACAGTGAGTAGCCTACCTAACGAATTTGTGTAAATGGATAATAGAACACAGAATAGAAGGGATCATAAAAAAAAGACAAATATTGCTAAGAGGAAAAAAGGAGAGGAGGATTTAAAGAGGCGGGATATTCACTGATACTATTTTTTTTAAGCATTACGCCCCGAGCAAGGCGTGAAGCCACTAGGATGCAGGGGGTTGCGGAAGATTTGGAGCGAGAGCAGATAGGAGTGATAGAAGAAAGGATGAGGAGAAGGATAGTGGGTAGATCAAGGCAACTGGAGATGTCGATTGACATTATATTTGAATAGTTGGAGATTATAGCTTTCAGGGAAACAGTAATTGGGGAGGGTGTTCCACTGGCGAGAGGTGCGAGGTATGAAGCTATTGGAGTAGAAGAGACGGCTACATTTAAAAATTTCTACGGTGTAAGTGGGGGAGCGGGATGCCAGCCTCGTAGGGCGCTTGAATTCATGGAGTCTGGGAACCAGAGAAAGCAACTCGTCAGAGCAGTTACCATGGAAGTATTTGTAGAAAAGACAGAGAGAGGCGACGGCGCGTCTGTGAAAGAGTGACTGCAGACGAGACGCTAGATCAGGGCCAATTAGATTACATATCCGTCTCTGGATCTTGTCAAGAACTCCGAGGTAAGAAGATGCCCCAGCCCATATATGGGCGAATGGTTGTTTTGTATATTTGAAGTATCGATTCAGGGGAGAAAAATTTCCTGGCGCGGCACAGAGAGCCAACTTTCCTCGCGGTGGAAGATGAATATAGAATGTGTCATCATCTCCTTCGTCTCAATGGGTACGAAGTTTAAAAAAAATATATGTATAATAATCAACTTCATCAATTACAGAAATGATTGAACTTTTTTCCCAAATAAATGATTGGCAAGCAGTAAAAAGCAAACTTGACAAATAATTCAGATTCTTCTTCTAAAAAAAAAAAAAAAAAAAGAATTAATGATGAAACAATTTAAAATTGATAAAATCTTGTGAAACATAATTTGCACTCGTTGTCACAACAAAGCAACAAATGATTTACATCAGAGCGTTGACCTTGAAGGTGAGCCATAGCCACCAGTTGAAAAAAAATATCTGGCATCAGAGAATATTTGTGATATATGAAGATGAGGAATATTGAGGAAAACATAGGATGTGCCCATGTGGTACAAACGGATCAGAGGAAGTTATATAAACACCCCGTACAAGAAAGAAAAGAGATAATCTCGCGAGAAAATCAACGTTTAAATAAAGCCACACTAACCATGCACACTCACGCTAAAATTGACAAAATCCAGAAGAATATAAAAAATAAAACTGCATATAAAATATTTCGTTTCCTATTCTTAATCGTTTTGCAATGGTTACGTTACATATTTATTCCACAAAAAAGCTGAACATTTTTAGATAAAAAGAAATAATTTAACAAAAATTTGTGACAGAAATTCTTTTTTTATTATTTTTTTACAAATTAATAACAATATGGTTCTTACTGACTTTTCAATTTTTTGACGAAAAACTTGCAACCCATGGAAAATTTCATTGACCAAAAATGAACGATGTCGTCAGTGAAAGTGAAAATTAAAAAAATAAATTATTACAATACTTTTATCTTCTTTCTTAATCACAGCACACAGTAACCAGAGATAAATTTCGCCTTACTTGAGAAAGAAGAAATTTAATTCGAATAATTGAAATCTCTAGTGTTCTCACGCACGAGTATGGAGTAGGGGGGTTGTAAGAAAGAGGAAGTGAGAAGTGGATCGGTTTATATCATCCGGGACATTGTATTGTTCGTCTTCTGACCAGACGAATTTCTGTCTGCCATCAGATCTGTTTATCTGCAGACGTTCTCTGTGGTCGGTTAGCAATAGAAACAGGCAGCAAAGCCGGAGAATTCTTTCCAAATCACATTTTCTTATTGTTCTCTTAGTCTGAGACAGACTTCCATTTATTCAAACAATCAGAGCAAAAATTCTGTCTGTTGGTATTTGTAATGTTTTTCTTTCTATCATTTTCTTTTCTCACTCTCCTGAATTATTCTTCCGCATCGTCTTCCTTGTTGTAATAATAATAATAATAATAATAATAATAATAATAATAATAATAATAATAAAAATTATTTTAATTCTTCCTCTAGTTTTTCTTCTAATTCTTCTTCCAAACCTTCTTTCTTCTAATTCTAAATATTCTTCTAATTCTAATTGTCCTTCTTTTAATTCTATTTATCCAAACTTTTCTTTTAATTATCCTTCTAATTCTTCTTAAAATTCTATTTTTTTTCTTCTTCCAATTTTTCTTCTTATTCTTCTAAATCTTCTTCCAAGTATCCTACTCCTAACTTTTCTTCTAATTATCCTTTTCTTCTAATACTTCTAATTCTTCTTTTTCGAATTCTAAATAGTCTTCTAATTCTTATTATTCTTCTATTTTTTCTTATAATTCTAATTCTTCTTCTAATTCTAATTATCTTTATTCTTGTAAATTTAAATATTCTTCCAATTCTAATTATCATTCTTCTTCTAATTCTATTTCTCTTTCTTCTAATTATCCTTCTTCAAATACTTCTCCTAATTCTCCTAATTCTCCTTATTGTAATTGTTGTTCTTCTAATTCTACTTTTTCTTCTAATTCTCCTCCTTCTATTTTTTCTTCTAATTCTAAATAGTCTTCTAATTCTCCTTTTTTCTTCTACTTTTCCTTCTAATTCTCCTTCTTCTAATTTTTCTCATAATTCTAATTCTTCTTATAATTCGAATTATCTTTATTTTTCTACTAATTCTAACAATTCTTTTTTCTCCTCTCACCATCTCTTATCCTTCCAACTTTTTTTTACCGACCTTTTTCCTATTCTTATTTCTTTTCCGATAAATATCTTCCTACCTCTTTTCATTTAAACGTCTCAAAATTTTCTAACTACTTTTTTTTTCTTTTATGCCTATTCTCTCCTTATCACTTTATTCTTCACACCTTCCCATCTTTATCCTCTCATATCTTCTTCTTTCCTCTTCTTCTCTGCGTATTCTCTTTCTATCTCTTCATTTTTTTCCATCACATTTTCCCTTCTTATATGAAAATTATATACACACCTTCCCAACAATATCGTCTCTCAACAACTTTTTCTTTTCATCTTCTTTACGTTTTCTCTCATTAATCTTTTCCTTTTCAAGTACTCTTTCTTCTTCCCACATTTCCGTGTAATTCTTCTTCGTCTCCGTTACCCATTCTCTCCCTAAATCTTCTACTTCTTGAATAATGTCCGATATGCTTACCTCATCTCATTTAATCGTCTTCAAACTTTCCCACTTACCACCTTCTTCTTCTTCTTCTTCTTCTCTTCCTCCTCCTCCTTCTCCTATTGTATCTATTATCGCTCTACTTCTTCTCATTTCTTCTTCTTCTGCACCCTTTCCCACCTACATTAATCATCTTCGCCATTTTGATTTCACCTTTCTCTTGAGGAGGCAAGTGGAGACATGAACAGCGGCTGGGATTGAGGAATCGGAGAGCCGAGTTCGAATTCTAGTCGAATACATTACATTCGTTTATTTGCTAATACCCTTCGGAAAGGTACGAATCCTCTACCTCTTCCACCGACTATGAGTAAATAGTAGGACAGACTGGCTTCTATAGCCTTGGATGGCAACTGGTCTACTGTAGGAAGAAAATGGCAACCGACTGCCGGAAAATACATGATCGTCTAAGCGTGTATCACGTATGGCACATAATTGGCGGACAGACTGACATTTTCGTTGTCGTTTTCCATTCTTTGTTTTAATAAACATTTTTCTCTACTTTGTCAGTTAAATCTGTCATCATCAATTCAATCGGCTTCCTTTTTTTCCATTCCTAATTTTTATCCTTTTCCTATTTTACTTCTTCTCATCATTCGTACCTTTATGTCGTTCTCCTTTACAACTTCTCGGCATCATCATCTCCCATTTTTTCTCATACAGTTTTTATACACTTTTGTTGTTCGCTTTTCATTCTTATTCCGTGTTGTTACCATCACCAAGCATGTATCTCTTCGTAGTTGTACATAAGAAAGAAATCCTTTTTTTAATCTTCTTCTTCTTTTCCTATGCGCCATATCCTTTCTGGATGTAGACAATCATGTCTCCGTACAAATATTTTCATGGCAACTGTTTCGATGGGCTACCTTCCCTGATGCCTTGATTATATGAATTTAAGCGTTAATTGACTAGATTGTCATTTAGGTCCTACCCTTTTATTGATGAAATAGTTAAATGCAAACGCCTCTTTTATTCCAGCCGTTTCTTTTCTCACGTTTCCCAACAGTGGAACTCCATTCCTCATACTTGCTTCCCTGATAACTACAACCTTCAAAAACTCAAATGCAACGCCAGTCGCCATCTTTGGTTGACTCGATAACCGTTCTTCTGTTATCCTTTCCTCGATTTCCTCTTTACCTAGTCTTTTCCCTCACTTTCTTTTCTTATCCTGTGTCTCTTCATTTGTCATTTTTCTTTCTTTCTTCCTTTCTTTCGCATCCTTTTCATTCTTTCTTTCTTCCTTATCCTTTTCTTTCTTCATTTTTCTTTATCATTTTTTCGTTAGCATTTTCTTTCTTTCTTTCTTTCTTATTTTTTCGTTGTCCTTTTCTTTCTTTCTTCCTTATCCCTTTTTTGTTTCCTTTTTATCTTCCTTATCCTTTTCTTTCTTTCTTTCTTTCTTTCTTAAGGTGAATTGCTTTTACTACTAAAAAAAGAAAAAAAAGGTAGTAGAATTTAGTAAGGTTTATCTTTTCGTTAAATTTCCTAATCCCTGTTCTGAAAACCATTTACACAAGATCACTGGCTATATTATACGCTGCTTTCTCCTGTCAATTTGGTTTTCAATACGCCCTGTCAGCATCAGATACTCGAATCCCTCTTTCCTGTACTCAAGAAATTTAAACTCTTTCTCATTCTAAATATACGCGTCCGTTTTCTTTCCAGTTTCCTAGAATATTCTCAAAACTCACAAGTTCTGTCCATGGCATTCTCAGCATTTTTTTCTTTTGCTTCAAGTCTCTTCTTCACCTGTGAAGAGATAAGCCACCATTCACTGTGGAAGAGCAGGACTGAAGTTATATAAGAGTATAATACTCTTTGTTTCTAACTAAATCTTCCCGTTTTCTTTGTATAGCTTTTGAAAGACATCTTTCACTACTGCAATGCGCCTTCGGATATCGATGCCACATTTTCTGCTTCCTGTCAGAAAATTTCACAAATATTTAAAATTCTGTATTTGTTTGAATTTGACATTTCAAATTTGTAACTTATCTTGTAGTGTCCTTTTTGCCATTGATCATACATTTTCTTTTTGCAAATGGTGATTACTCCCTTCTTTTCGCTTTCTTTTACTAACTTCTGTAGGTTTTTCTATAAGTTACCTTTCTGTGTCTGTTAATCACAATACAGAACTGCATAATACAACTAATCATAAATAAAATCTCATTATTTAATACAGCAGTATTGTTAATGCAATATTTTAAAGCTACACTTTTTTCGTTTATTTTTTTTTCCATTTTCTCCTTAGGTCGACTCATTTAATTTTCGAAATTTGTTTTAATTTATCAACTTACATCCTTTTGCTGACATTAATTCCTTTCTTTTCTTATTCTGTTTCTCATTTTTCTTTTGCTTCCTCGTACCTTTCTTTCTTCTTTATCCTTTTCTTTCTTCCTTTCTTTCTTCTTTATCCTTTTCTTTTTCTTCCCTATTCTTTTCTTTCTTTCTTCATTTTTTTTTCTATATTTTATTCTTTCTATCTCCCATTGTTTTTTCTTCTATCCTTTCATTCTTTCTTCCTTTCTTTCTTATCCTTTTTGTTCTTCCTTATTCTTTTCTTTCTTCCTTATCCTTTCTTTCTTTCATTTTTTCTTCCGTCCTTTCACTCTTTCTTCTCTCCTTTCCTTCTTTCATTCTTTCTTCTATTCTTTCCTTCTTTCCTTCTTTCTTTTCTTTCTTTCTTCTGTCCTTTACTTCTTTCTTTTTTCCTTCCTTAGTATCTTCCTTTATTTCTACCTTGTCCCTTTTCTTTCGTTCTTTCTTTCTTCTTTAAACTTTTCTCCCTTCCTTCCTCTTTTCCTCCCTCCCTCCGTTCCTTCCTTTCTTACTTTCTGTCTTCCAGCGCCCATTAAAACTGATCAAATATTCACGCTTCGTATATATTCTACAATGACTCCCAAGGGAGAAGTCTCTGTTTCAATACCGAACGCCTTGATGAACCGGGTTGAAAAAAGAAAAAAAAATGCAGATATGTAAAAAGAGTTACACACTAAAAAGGATCCAAAGATAGTGTAAGAAAATGTGCTGTTCGCTCAAAGCTAAAAGTAAATTCGAGTGATATCGTTTCCGGACAGCCATCAAAAGAGACTTGCATATCATTCCGGCGAAGGAAGTAGGTTTAATGTAAAGATCACTGCATTTTCCCGCTTTCCCGGTGTTGTAACTGACCTGGCGGCCATTTTATTATACCTACATCCTAACGATCTGCCGTTTATAAATATCACACAAAAAAAGAAAGGAAAATGCACTCTAACCCTCACAGCTTACTTCTTACTAAACGTATAAGTCTGTGAGTCGGTGAGAGTACTAATTCATTCGCAAAGTTTACTTTCTCGGGCTCACACTTTCGTTCTCCGCTTCTTATCCTAACGTGCTCCCTACAGATTCAACAGCAGAGTTCCGTTCCTATCTTTTTAACAACACACACACACACACACTCTCTCTCTCTCTACCTCTCTCTCTCTCTCTATATATATATATATATATATATATATATATATATATAAATAAATGTATGTATGTATGTGTATTTATGTGTGTGAGTGTATATGTATACATATATGTACAAAACAATCATATATGCGCACATAATTAAGGCATATATTTACATACACACACACACACACACACACACACACACACATATATATATATATATATATATATATATATATATATATATATATATGTGTCTTGGTAAATAATGTAATACCGATCAATATGTCTTATATTTATTGGATTTTTTTCAGGTAAGAACAAAATATATATTTTGAAAACCAGATCACATGGTTAAAGATACCTCCAAAGTCATTTTTATTATTATTATTATTATTATTTTTATGCTACTGTTTACCGAATATAAGTCCAAAATCATCACAAGATATCAATGCAAATGGTTACTCATTGAGTTGGGTCTAAACACGAATTCTGGAGGAAGGAAAATGCGTTGTATATTAAGAGCATATATAGGGTTAATATCGGGGGACTCCAGGCATGAAGACGTGAAGATTTTCGAGAAACTGTCCACTCGGGAGTCTGATAAACAAAGTGACATTTCTGGGGAAGAAGCTGACTGAGTATAAGGTACTTGTTGACAAAGGAATGTCGAAGTAATGAGAATGGTTTGACGTTGTATACGTGTTATCACCTGTCCTTGTTCTTGTAAAGATAGAGCGTGTTAGAAGGAGCCGGATATTTTCTGGTATCATGTATTTTGCTGGCAAAAATTAAGCTCTTTTTTTTAAAATCCTTTCCTAGCCGAATGTAGAACGCTTGCTTATACGGCGGTTTCTCCTGCAAAGCGGCGACGCAAGTTTGAATCCTGACAGAGAGCACGTTTTCTTTATATTCTCGAGTACGAAGGCTAGTAGAATATTCAAATACTATTTCAAATAACCGGAGCTTCAATTGAATTACGGGTATCCACTAAAAATAAATGATTTAAAAACATAAATAATTAAAAAATAAAGATAAAAAAGAAGAAAATTACAAACGATCACGACACCCTACACGCACGCACATCCACGCAGGTGTGCAAACGAACACAGACAATACAGGGAAAAACTTACACCAATGATAAGTGCATAAAAAGTAAAACGGAGTAAATTGTTGATAACCCCTGAAGAGTGGCAGGTCTGCCTGTCTGTGTGTGTGTGTGTGTGTGTGTGTGTGTGTGAGTGTGTGTAGCTTTTTTGGTTAAATCTTCTAGACGTAATATGTCTATTTGTTTTAGTTTTACTCTTTTCAAGTTCACTAATTAAAATACTTCGTGGCTGTAGAAAATTGGCCAAGAAATATAACCAAAATTTTCATCTACTTTCAATCTCATCTGAGGCCATCTTCAGAGTTAACTTCGTAAATTCAAAATATTTATCACCACTATGCGAGGGCGGTATCTGAAGTATTTGTTGACTAATATTTGTCGAAACTGGGAATGTAGACATGTGTGTTCCTTCAAATGTTCAGAGATTGAACTATGACGGTTCTAGTGAAACGTAAGTCTTCTAGCCAATGTCGTTGTTGTAAAGCCAACATACGTATTAAAAATTTTTTATCAGAGATGCAATCTCCCAAAGGACATCTAAATTGAAATGCGATGTTTGTTTTTTTTTTAATGCATTTTATTACGGTATAGTACATTGATGTTTATAGTTATTTGAGGAAGTATTATGTTAATTTTTATTCATGTTAAGTCTCAGATGGGATTGAAAGAATGTGTGCCGCTAGAGTTGTTGTGGCCCGATCGCAGGCTGTCAGCGCGTTACAATATTGCCACCGGCAGATCGCTTGCCACCAGCGTCTTGCCTGTAGTGTACAGATATATATATATATATATATATATATATATATATATATAGTGTATATTTACGTAGCAATTATTCATTAATGCATTAGTCAAGCGACGTGAAAGCGATTTTGTGGTGTAAACATAATTTAATCCGTTAAAGATACAATCTCCCAAAGGACACTTGAATTTGTAAACTATGTTATTTTTTTTTGCAAATCGCTTGACTCTACATTTAAATGATAACTCTAACATTTCTATACATTTAAAACAACATGTCTGACCGCGTACTCAATTCCGGAAAATCCTTGTTGACAACACAACTATACTTAAACATGAAAACAATAAACAAAAATTAAAAATTCTTGAAGGTATATATATAAAACAGTTGAAACCTAACCTGAAGAAAATAAACTATGAAATCTCCACAATTATCCTTAAATGCCTATAATTTATAACAGAAGCCATTGGTTTATACCAACGGCTTCCTATACTTAATACTTCTCGTTTTTCACTTTCGCGTGATCATGTGTGACGTCACGAGCTGCGACGCAATTTTCGTTTCCGCGTCTCTTATATACGAGTTTGTCGTTACATGGAATTTTTCATGCAGCAAGGGCGGTCTATCATTGTCATTTCGTCCCTGTGTTGTTTGATTTATTGAAATTGTCATCTTTGATAATGGCTTGTGTAAGCCGAAAGTTTAGATTGAATTTAAACATGTTGTAATATGGTGTTTTCCTTTCGTCTTTCAACGATAATGTGATTAAGCTTATCGGACAATATGAAAGGAACTTACTTAAAATAAATCGAAAAAACTTGTCTTTATTATTTAATGAAACATGCATTAATATTATATATATATATATATATATATATATATATATATATATATATATATATATATATATAGTTGGACAAAATAATTGGAACAGTTGGAAAATCCACTCCTGAATTTCAAATACATATTATATTGAGAACTTTAACTAAAACTTCGTAATTGCAGGTTATATCTATTGTAAATACATTTATTTATCTAATTTAATGTTTTTGTCTTACTTATTTTTAGAATTTAGTAAAATTTAAGTTAAATGCGTGACCTCTCCGAGTTCGAAAAGGGGCAAATTGTTGGAGCTCGCATGGCAGGAGCCTCGATCACTAAGGTTGCTGAACTGTTGGGTTTTTTAAGAGCTACCATATCAAAAACACTGATGCAATTTGAGAAAGAGGGCAAGACCTCTAGCAACCGTAGCAATTCGGGCCGGACTTGCAAACTTACTGACAGGGACTGACGTGCATTGAAACGCAATGTGGCAAAAAATCAACGGACAAATGCGGCCAAAGTGACTGCTGAGTTGAATAACTATCTGAATAGTTCAGTTTCTACTAAAACTGTTCGGCGTGAGCTTCATTAGGTTGCATATCATGGAAGAGCCGCTGTGAAGAAACCTCTTCTCTCCACTCGCAACATTCAATAGAAGATGAAGTGGTGCAGAGATCACAATGCCTGGTCTGCAGACCAATGGAAGCAAGTCATATTCTCAAAGTCCAGTTTTTTTCTTTTCCCAACTTCAGGGCGAGTTTATGTGTGGAGGCAGCCCAAAGAAGCTTACGACCCTGACTGTCTTCTTCCAACAGTGAAGCATGGAGGTGGAACAGTGATAGTTCGGGCCGCCATATCGTAGAAATGTCTCAGTCCAATAGATGCCCTGTATGATAGAATCAACAGCAATGATTGCCTGAACATTGTGGGAGATCAAGTTCATACAATAGCCAAGGCTTTATTCCTGATGGAGACTGCATCTTCCAAGAAGATAATGCTCCAATGTATACCGCTCGAGTGGTTAAGAATTGGTATCAAGAGCATAAAAGTGCGCTAGAACACATGGAGTGGCCTCCCCAATCTCAAGATATCAATATTATTGTACATTTGTTGTACATTTTGGAGCAACAAGTTAGGAGCCGCTGTCCTCCACCGTCGTGTTGTAGAGAGCTGGAGAAGGTGTTAATGGAAGAATGACTGAACATTTTTTCTGGATGAAGTCAGGAAACTGTATGATTCAATTCCTAGACGTATTAAAGCTGTCTGTGAGGCTAAAGAAAGACCAAGTTCATATTAAATAAATTTTCTTTGAATTTAACAAGTGTTTCAATTATTTTGTCCAACCACCATATATATATATATATATATATATATATATATATATATATATATATATATATTGTATTTGGGCGGCAATCCATATTTTAGAACATTTTCATTAAATATATCTAACAAGGCACTGCGATGAAGATTTTTATTATATTTTTCTAGCATTCGGACAAGCTTTTACTTTTCTGGACATAACGGGAGTTAAAACTGTACAAATGTTTTATAGATCTGAGCTACTTCCTCTAAGCTATGAGCTATCATAAAGGTTTAATTTGTGTAGT